CCCCCTGGGCAGCTCCCCGCCGAGCAGGCGGCCCCGGGAGAAGCTGGGTGTTGAAGTGGCTTTCCCCACTGCGGGGGGCTGGTGCCAGCCCGGCGGTGGTTCTGTCCCCGCGGGGCTTGTGGGGGACAGTTCTACGAGCCCCACGGTCCCTCGTGTGGGAGCCACTCAGCTACTTGGTGTAGCGCTCGGTCGGTGCCGTGCTGCCCGACACCACGTTGGGTTTGTCTTCCCGTGAATCTGGGATCACCCGTGCTCCCTTTGAGGGGGAGGGGAAGGAGCTTTGTCTGCACGAGAGAACCAGAGGGAAGACTGGTTCTGAATCTGCCCCTCGGGCAGCGCTGTGCCTCTGCCTTGCCAAAAAGGGGCTGGTTGATAAACAGCCCCAGAGTCGTTGCCTGTCGTTTTCCCATCTGCTCCTACCCAGCTGACAAACGCTCGGGGACGTGAGGAACAAGTGCACAAAGCAGACCGAGATGTTCCTGTTAAACGTTTCCGTCCAGACGTGTCCGTTCCTAAAATACTCTTACCCTCCTCCTGTGTGAAGCCCTCACAGATTAGAGTGTCCTAGGAAAATCGTTCTGGAATTAATCAACAGGCATTAACGGCTGATGTATTGTTCTCTCTTCCCTCGGAAGCTGTAGCCTGACTCGACTCTTCCTTCAAGGTCAATTGGTGCTTCTGGGAAAGTGCTGGGCTCTTGAAGCCTCATTTATGGAAAATGATACATTAAAAAAATATTTGTGTGCATTAATGGTCTGCAAAATAACTCTAAATGTGTAGTGTGTGAAGACAGTGCTGAGAAAGAGTGAGATGGAACAATATATTCATCATAGTTTTATTTGCCTACCATTTTCATTCAAAGCTTTCTCTTTCCTGTGTTTTTGTTTGAAAGGCATCCTCTAGGTCGAGAAGTTTCCTGCTGCAGCTGCTCTGCCTGTGTTCCCAGAGCCCTGTCCCTCTTGGCTGGTGCCTCGCTGAGCTCCAGGCAGCCCCTCTGCCCCTTCCTGGGGTCACTGTGGAAGGACCATGGCAGACACTGGGGAGGGGAAAAAGGAGGAGGCTGATTATAAAAGACTTCACAGTTTTCCACTGATTAGGGTAAGAGAGATGAACGATGCATTTACTGGTGTTGCAGATATGAAACTCTCCCTTCACTCTTACCAACCTTCCCAACCAGGATTTCTCCCACGGATTAGGTGCTGTGAGAACGTGAGTGCTGATGGTCCCGTGGAGGGATCCTGGTCACCACCACTGCCTGCTCCCTGTACTTCTCCTCTGCCAAGGAATCTTGTTAGCACCTTTGCTCCCCGAGCCCCTGTCAGCCAGGGGAAGCCTGAGGCAGAGTGTTTGCTCTGATAGATAATATATTATATAGAACATGCTGCCTTTGGAGCCCTCCCCTGTGTTCTGAAGGCAACTTGATCTTCTTCCTAGAGGAGCTGGGGTTAACGATCTTGCTGGCCAGTTGGGTGGCAGAATAAGGAGGAGAGGCTGTGTAATTTAAACTTCTTTGTTATGCTTATAGCAGTAATTAAGGACAGTGGTTGGGGCAGTGTTAAGGTGCTTTCCCTTCATCTTATAACAGAAAAGCTGGCAAATGTATTTATCTTCTCTTTAGAGCTGGTCTTAATGTTAGGTGGAGAAGAATTCAGGCTGGTTTGGACAAAGGTGGGGGGGAAATCCCCTGGAATGCAGTGAGCTGGTGTTATATTTATCATTCTCTGAAGTGGGGGGAGTGCTTGGTGTACAGACAAGCCTGTGGTTGCCTGTGATCTCCTCCACCTTGAAGCAGGCATTAGAAGTCACAGGGACTAGTTGCCCTCTGCCCACACCCAGCAGCCGAGGCCTCTGCTGTCACCTGCACAAGAGTAAGGGCTGCTTCCCACTGTCTTGTCTTATTTCTCTGCTCAGTTCCTGTTGTTTGCTCTCCCCAGCACACAGACATGCCTGAGGAGATGCGTGTGGAGGCCATGGAGCTGTGTGTGACAGCGTGTGAGAAATATGCCACCAACAACGAGGTACTAGCCCAGTCCCCAGCTGGCCAGCCTGCAGTCGCTGTGGTTCAGGGAACCTGCAGGAGCAAGGCTAAGGGTGCAGGGCAGAGGGGAGGCAGAGCTTGACATCCCATTACTCTTTCTGCACTGAGCAAGGACAGAAGAAGGCAAAGAGTTTGGCACGATCTCAGACCCTTTGTCTGCAAGAGCCATAACAGCACTTTTCTGCAGGAAGCAGAGATGAGTAGAGATGCTGCCTCTCAAACCTTCACCTCCATCCTGAGCCTGCCTTGCCTGTGACATGCTCCCACTCTCTTCATAAAACACCCTGTGTCCTGAGGGCTTGGTCTAGGACTGGGTGGAGATGGGCCCTTCTCATCTGTTCTTCAGTGCTGAGCAAGGCCAAACCCACCAGGGCACAGGAGAGGCTCTTATTTGGGGGATAACTACACGAACCTTTACAGCCTGTTAAGTCTTCCCTCTCAGCTTTCAGCCTCTTGAGTGAAATTACTGAGTCCATATAAATGGGAGATGATGCAGAACTTACAGGCTTTGGAAAGGTTGCCCTTAACTGTGAGAATCAATCATCATTGGTTCTCATTGAACCTTCTAATTGAAGGGAAATGCACCCTGCTCCATGGGCAGGGCACAGACTTGTTTGCTCCTGGAGCAGTTTTCTGTTGGAGCAAGGCAAAGCTATGAAGCCAGAGGTTCCTTCTGGCTCATCCTGCCTGAGACTCCTCATGTCACTGCCAAAATCTTCCTCTCTCCATTTTTAGATCAAGCAGGGTGTGATCTGGGAGAAGCGAGCCTTTGAAAAGTCAGCCTAGTTTCAGTGTTTTGGTAATTAGCTGGAGAAAAAAAAATGGACTTCTGTAAAAATAGCTGCAGCTTAGTGACTTGAATCTCCTCTTGTGGTCACTGCACTCAGATGCAGTGCTTGAAGTTCTCCTGGCTTTGTTGGGGGCTGCTGAAAGCACAGAGACCTGTTCTACCCTTGGGCATAGCTCTGGGAAGCTCCCAGTTCCTCCAGTGCACCTGCCATACCTGCTGCCCATGGCTTGAGTAGTCTGTCTCACCCTATACTCTCCTCCTTATTCTCCAGAGCGCTGCCAAGATGATCAAAGAGATGATGGACAAGAAATTTGGGTCCTCCTGGCACGTGGTGATTGGGGAAGGTTTTGGATTTGAGATCACTCATGAGGTGAAGAATCTGCTCTACATGTTCTTTGGTGGCAGCCTGGCCGTGTGTGTCTGGAAGTGCTCCTGACATCTGCCCAGGCCCCAGACTCGCTGCATACAAAGATTTGTTGCTTCCCTTGACAGGTTTTGTACAATCTGGAGGTGGGGCTTTATTTTTAATAGTTAAAAGTCCAGATTTTGGTTTTCATACTGACGTCACAGTTCCGTGGGGTACATGTAGTTGGTTTGCCTGTGCGTATAGACTTGCTTCAGCTCTCCTGTCCTTGCTGGTGGGATTTCTCATCTGTCTGTGACTCTTCCCTTGGCATTTGAGGTGAAGCAGGAAGGATTTGGGTGCAGGTAACCTCACAACACGTGGCAGAGCCGGACAGCAGCGCTAGGAGGGGGAAGCAAATGCAAAGAGGTGCTGTCTAGCCCTATGGGTTGTTATCCTCCCACGTTGTGTCCTCGGTTCTCTGCCTTCCCCACTTACCATGTGGTGTGGCTCCGACCAGCACCTGTTTCTCCTCTGTCTGAATGCCAAGAATACCTTCTTCCCCCAGTCTGAGATGCCCGTGCAGGACTGGCGGTGCCAAGGGTCTCCCTTCAGGCTGCCCGCGGGGGGGGTAGCCGCAGGGAAGCAGAGCCAGCTTGCCCTTCCCCACTTCTTTTGGGAGGGTACAACAGCTGAGCTGCCTGGGTGTGGGAGGTTGCCATGCAAACTGCCCCCTCCCTTCTCACCCACCACACACACTCAAACACAGGCGGCTGACGGCGCCTGGGGAGTGGGTGAGAACTCTTCGTGAGGCTCAAATGCCTCCCTGTCAGTTCTCGGGGGTGTTGCAAGTGCTGTGTGCTTTCAGCATCTTGTTTGGAGGCTGGTAGAGGAAAGAGACTCCACGTGAGATATCACTTGGTCATCAGAAACCTCATGTCTTTTTTGGATTCGTGTTCTTTTAGCCTGTTTCATTTTTTTTTAGAGCTGAGTCGGAGGCTGGAGTGAACGTAATTGTGTGTTACGTGTATGGCTTATTTATACAAGTCTGGGGAACTGTGTTTTTACAATAAAAATGTAGTAAAACAACCTTTTCTCTGTGCGTTCTCTCATGAAAACCCCAAAGTGGAGGATGGAAAGGGATATGTGGAAGTAAGCAAGCGATGGTGCAGCTCAGGTGGAGAACAGTGACAAGTGCCCACCACACACGTGTCCTGTGTACTGGTAGGTACCAGAGACACACTCTCACCCTCCTGGTTTAATTCCTTTCACTGGTGCAAGCCGTGGTGCTGAGGAAGGTTGCCAGGCCCACAGCGCTGCTGGCCAGCGTGCCTCTGCTCTGATCTTTGGGGTCTCACATTTGTGGCTCCCTTGATTTTCAGACTTTCCTCACAGAACATCACCAGCAGTACCACTGGCATCTTGTGTTTTATGAGAGGCCACAGTGCAGTTCTGAAGGTCCTTGCTGCTAGTGCCTGTGGTCTGACAGTTCCTTTTGTTCCTTCTCTGAAGCTCAGTGTGATTCTGGAGATGTTCTTCCTCCATTCCATCATATCAGGAGCTCTTCTTAAGCCAGGAATTGGAATAATATGAAAACAGACAGAAATTATTTCAAATTTTGACCATCTGTGCTGGCTGGGCCCTACATCCTTTCTCATCATTCCTTACTGATCAGGTGGAAAGGAACTGGAAGGCAGGGAGGACATGTAGCTGCTCCAGATAGCTGGTATCATGATACCTGCCTTGTGCAGTGGACCACGGTGTGGAAGATTCCAAATCTTTTGAGCTGTCTCTTGGGCTGGAGCACAGGTACCCTCCAGCCATACCATAGCTGCTTTAATCCTGCCTCCTTCACACTAATGAATAATTAACTGCTGTGTGCCTCTGCACAGACACACTGGTTGTGGGCACCTCTGCGGGGTCGTGGTGACCTGCAGGTGATCCCAGGGAACTGCTTAGCTCAGCACACAACCTTTTGGCCTTGCTGCCAGTTTGTTATCTCTTTGGCCCCCAGATGACCAAAGTTGATGTCTCCATGACCTGCATCTGCAGGAAGCAAACGTTGACCCCTCCCCACCCCTCTCAAGGCAGGAATGTGTAGATGGAGGTGAGCTAGGTGTGAATCTGGAGAGAGTCAGAAGTAAAGAGTAGAAGAAAGATTTTTTTCCTCTCCTTTTGCTGTGGAACTGCCACATTCTGGGGCATGCCTGGAGCTTTCAGGGGAGTATGTTTCACGGGTCAGAGGTGGTCCATTGTCCTGTGTTTTGCCACAAGAGACCCTTCTGCAGCTGGTGCTTTGGAGCCTCTAGGGCCTGTCTGCTGTTGACCTGCAATCTCTTGCTGGAGGATTTCGCTGTGTGAATTTCCAGCAGAAAGCTGGGGAAGTTTGCAACAGGTGTGTTGCCATTGTCTTCTCCTCTCCCTCTCTTTTCTTACCCCCTGCATATTCCTGCCCTTACCCATCAAAGCATGAGGCTGAGTCAGATGTAGAAAAGGAGATGAGAAATGGAGGGTGATGCATCGGCGCCAGCTGAAATGACCCTTTCTGTCTGCCCATCCTGGAAAGCTGTGATAGCAGCTCAGAGGGCTCTGCTTCATGACTTCATCACTCCCCATTGAGGGCAGATGGGCAACATCATTAGCAGCTGCTGGGGAGCCCTGACTCAGTGCTGGCAGTAGAAATGTCCTTGGCTGTGTGGCTCGTTTTCTGCACCAAGGGGGACTCAAACCTGCTGGGCAGATGGAAGAAGAGCTGGGAAGGGGGAGAAGGGAAGAAAGAGGTGCAAACTCAATAGCTTCCCTGCCATGATGTCATGGCAACAAGGTACATTGGCATGGGCAGGCATTGAAGCTCTCCAGCTCTTCCCTGTGGCTGTGGGTTCATGTCTGACATGATGAAAGATTTTTTTTGGCTAATATTTAATGCCGGCGTTGAGGTGCTAAGGATGGGAAGTGCCCCATGGAATCTTACTGCCTCCACTTTTCCATGCTAAATCGGGGTGGGGGTAGGATCACAAGCTCCCCTAGCCCAGGAATAGGAATACTGGTCAGTAGGGTGGCTTCAGGCTGTAGGCTCCCTGCCCCCCTCTGGCTCTAGGACATGGGAGGGAAGTTTCTATCCTTTCTAGCCCAGTTTGGAGGTGGTTTGGGACACTGGAAAGAGGGGGATCTCCCTCTCCCCTCAGTCTCCCAGGGTTGGCTCTGGAATACAGAGATCCATGGCCCTGCTCTGGGAGCTGAGCCCAGCTCCTTTGGTGCGAGCAGTTAGCACACGATTGTTGTTTTTGGTTTTTTTTTTTGCTAAGCAATGACCTAACGATCCTGTGTTCCAGCTACAGCCTCTCCTGGGCAACTTCTTTCCGCACCATACGTCCACACTGGATCCAGCAAACCTCACCGAGGAAGACGCTGTGTTCCCTTCCTCGGGGGAGCCATCTGCTCCCCTCCACCCGGCTCCTTCCGCAGGGCTTTGAGTTCACCAGCCAGGCTGGAAAGCTCTCCTCCTCCTCCTCCTCCTCCTCCTCCTCCTCCTCTTCCTCCTCCTCACGGGGAAGGGAACGAGGGGCTGGCTGAATCTGGGGCTGCTGACGGTGTCAGCCGAGGCGGTTTCCAGGCAACTGTCACACTGGGAACACCCTGTTCTCTGTGGTCTCGCCCAGGAGGGGGCCGAGCTGGGCAGGGATGGAGAGGGCAGAGCAAGTCACAGGGTACCACAAGGATGGCAGCAGAGAAGGGGGGTCTCCAGTGTACCCCCTCCCTGCTCGCTGCTCATCACACCCTCCCTGGCTTGGAGTGAGGATGTCCCGGCTGGCTGCTGGTGCATCACACGGTGAGGAAGGACCATGTGATGTACAGGGTTCCCTGTGTCCTCTGAATCCTTTGGGAGAACACAAAAAGGAAAAAAACACTGCTCCTGACTCTGTACCCAAACTTCCAGGCTTGGTGCAGCGGGTCCTGTGCTTCTCTGCTCCCTAACAAATCCAAACCTCCCTCCTTCCAAGTCACCAGCTGTTTATTGCCCATGCAGTCCAGTGCTGTGTCACTGGGAAAGTGACTTTCTTGTAAAAAAGGGCTGCCCTCTCCTTCCACAAGCTGCCAGTCCTCCCCCAGCACGCAGTGGGTCCCCACTCCTGCTTGCCCACCTCTCCTGCCTGCTTCAGAGGCCCTTGGAGCATCCCTGCCTAGGAACCTCACCCACCTGGCAGCCCAGCTTTTCCCCTCCCAGCAATGCTGATACATCTCCTTTGTTTTACCTAATTTTGAGTAAAAGTGATTTTGAATAGGGGGGGAAAGGTGACAAAACTTCTCTGGATGAGCAGCAGGAGAAAAACTCCCCTGGATTACAAATGTGTGGACGTGATGGACGTGGGGAATGGGGCTGCCTGGTGCTGCAGAAGGGCAGAACCACTTTAATGCCCTGTGCACCAAGGAATGTTCTTCATCCCCATGTGGGTGACATCCCAGAGGGACAGGACTCCGTGGGGGTTATCTGCAGCCATCAGTGCCCTAAGCCAGCCTCGTGGCTGTTGATTTGGAACTTGCCCCGTTCACGTTAACCTTGGCAGTGCCAGCTCAGCCCTTATCAGCACTGATAAACCCCTCTGCAACCTCCTGCTGCAGTGTCACCCCCTGAGGTGCTGTGGTGACAGATCTTCACTGTGACTCTCCCCTTGCACTGGTTGCTCTTTTTTTTGGTGATGCTCTAAATCCAGGACTCCTCACTGCTATTTTTGCACAGGGACCGTGGCCTCAGCGACTCTCCTTTAGCTCTGGGTGGGCACCCACCCCTTGCTGAGCATCTTGGGGGACAAAGGATGCGGCGCAGGCTGCAAACGCTTTTCCAGAGGAAATGTAAAGTCAGTCTCCTCTTCCTCCTGTTCTTGGCCCTCCTGGTGCACCTGGCGATGGATTTGGCTCTCCCCACCCGCCGCAGGCCCTGCAGCTGTGATGAGAAAGCACCGAAAGCCTCCAGCATCCCATCAGGCAGCCCTGTGCTTTCTGGCCCCAAAAAATTGAGCCTACGAATCCTTCAGGATTTCAGTGGCAGCAATGGCTCCGTGGAGAAAAGCTCTCAACTGCAGGGAGCAAGGGCACAAGCAAGGGCTGGAGAGCACCAGAGCAGAGAGGGGAAAGCAGGATGGCCTGAGGGATCCAAGCTGGCAGAGCTCTTCAAGCATCCTCTTTACACCATCCCGATCCCAGAGGTGACAGAGAAAGACAAGCTGTTTGTTGTCAACCCCACGGAGAAGTTCAGCCTGGGCAGCAGCCTGAGTGACGAATGGTGAGGAGTGAGCTCAGCGCTGCCTTGATTTTGGGGGTTGTGTGGGTTTGAGGGGACAAGAGGCAGGGAGCAAACTCATCGTTTCCTTGCATAGACCAGCATCCCACCCCAGAGGGGCCCCAGTTGCTGAGCACGTTCTTGTGCCTCATATCCTTTCTTAGTCCTCAGTTTCTGGGCTGTTACCTAGAAGTCTGTAGCACACAGCAAAGCCAGAGGAGACTTGAATTATTCCTAGTGTTGTGTAGGATCTTTTTGGTCATCTCCTCGTCTCCTTTCCTTCCCCAATGCAATCTTTAGCCTTCGGTCTCTATGTAGGTGAGGAAGTCTCCACTCCAGATTTCTAACCAGTTTTATCCCCCTCTCCTGATACATTGGAGATGCAAAGCCCACAATGTGTATTACCCCTCACCATGAGACTGTTCCAGTCCTGCCAATGTGCAGGACATCACCTGACCTCTTTAGGCTCGACCGTATGGTGAGCTCACGGCTGCTGGCTGCCTATTTTTATCCCTGGGCTACTAACCTCTAATTAGGAGGGAAGATATTAAAAGCTTTAGCGTCGGTAACACGTAGCAGCTTCCCTACGGAAGGCACAGCTTCCAAATGAGGTGGCTGTTAAAATTGGGAGAGAATAAGAGGTGATTTAAGAGCTGTTTTTTACAACTGGGCATTTGCCTCGTCTCTGAGGACCACCTTGCCTATGGATAGCCGTGGGAGATGGGTCTGATTTGTTGAAATCAGGGCACAATCTGCATTTTCCTAGAGAGAGAGAGGTGGATTTGCAGTGCCAGTGGGTGCTGACCTAGAGTGGGGACAGATACCCTCAAAAGTACCCCTTGAATGCCAGCAAACTGCAAATCTGCAGGAGGCACAGAGGCAGGGGTGGTGCGAACCCAAACTCAGCCCCCAGGGGAAATCAGGGGTGTGCAATGGACTGTCCAGGGGGACCTGGATGTTGAGGGGGGGGGTTCAGGTGGGTGCTGAGGATGGCTGGGAAGCCCCTGCTCCTCCACCCTTGTTTTACAGATGGGTGTGTGTCCCCAGAGAGGGTGTCAGGGGTGTGGCCGGTTGTATTCCTGGGAGCTAATCCCTTGGGGAAAAACAACGAGACAAGCTGCTCCAGCAGGGAAATCAAGGCATGGATGAAAGAAGCAGGATCAGCTCAGGGAATTTTCACAGGGAATGAGGGGGAAGACACCAAGCCCCCTCCAGCTGTGCCAGCAGGTCTTCCTGGCCACCAGCCACGGGTGGGATCTGCCCAGGTGCCCGGAGTCCCGAGGAGGGTGCTCAGGGCAGGGGGTTTTGCCATCATCCAGGGCTTGTGGTGGGTCTTTTCCCCACCTCACCCTCCACGTGCTGGCTCACGGGAAGGGCCTGGGGATGCAGGACCCATCCTGTCCCCACTTAAACGCTGTCGTTGTTGTTGGGGTGGTGGTGGCTGTCGTGCTGCAGGGTCAGCAGCAGTAAAGCCGAGGCGCTCCTCCCGACAGGGAAGACGACCTATGAGACCTACCCCACCTGGCTCAAATTCCACGTGGGCATCAACCGCTACGAGCTGTACCCCCGCCAGGACCCCCTGATGCCCACCCTCCTCCGGGACTTGGCCACACAGAGGATTGTCAGCTCAGGTAGCACCTCCCTGCCCGCACCCCCCTGCCTGCACCCCTGCCCTGCTGCCCGCTTCACTCATCCCTGCGTGCCCCCTTTCAGTCCAGAAGCCTGGTGGGACCCAGCTCAAGCTCATCATGACGTTCCCAAACTACGGGCAGGCCCTCTTCAAGCCCATGAAGTGAGTAGAGCCGGAGACAACCCCGTACCCCAGAGGAAGGGCTTGAGGAGACCACGGATAGAGAAATGCTTTTTGTGCTGCCTCGCTTCGGCCCCTTTACCCCAAAATTGAGGAGAACGAGACGGTCCATTCCCCACCACTACCTCCCCTGGTGGTGTTTGGCAGGCTGGGCGCAGCTTGTGATGGGGTAGTGGCCTCTAGTGGTGCAAAGAAGGTGGTTCATGAGAACCACCCATGTTCAGGTTCAACCCTCCCGTCCGTGAGGGCTTCCCAGCCCTTGGGTTGGGCACAAGGTGGGCGTGGGGTCCTGGCTGGGGAGTTTGGGGCCACAGCACCCACAAGGGAGTGACTGGAGGACACTGGGTCTGGCTATATCTCCAGTAGCACCGTGGACACAAGGTCAGGGGTGGTTTGGAGCCAAGACCCTGCCCGTGGCTATCACCACCACCCTTCCCTCTCCTCCCAGGCAGACCCGGGAGCAGGAGACCCCCATCGACTTCTTCTATTTCTCAGACTTTGAGCGGCACAACGCAGAGATCGCAGCCTTCCACCTGGACAGGTGAGCTTTACATCCAAACTCTGCCCTCCCGTGACGGCAAAGCCTTCACCCCACCTCTTCCACCCCACTGCAAGGGATACCTGCATCTCACAGAGGTTTTAATAACCCACCATGAAAACTAGCCAGGGTCTGTGAGAAACGGTTCTAAGGTCTGTGTTTCAGGATCCTGGATTTCCGGCGAATCCCCCCAGTTTCTGGACGCTTGATTAATATAACAAAGGAGATTCGTGACATCACCACAGACAAGAAACTAGCCAAGACTTTCTTCATCTCCCCAGGTGAGCTTTCATGCTGACCATCCTCTTCTGTGGTCATCCGCATGGAGCTCACTTGGAGTTGGCTGCTCCTGCCCTGGCTCCCTCTGCGCTGGGGCAAACTGATCTTTTTGGGGACTACTCCAGCTCCTGCCAGATCCCCTGCTGGGGGACTCAGCTCCTCAAGGCTTTCCTTGCCATTGCTGTGCTGGTGACATGTGGCCACGGAGCAACTTCACCCGGCCACCACCTGCTGGAACATCCTGCGTGGGAGCAGAAGGCTTGTTGTCTTCTTGCTCCTCGTCAACCTTTGCTTTGTCCTCATGGCCAGCGGGCAACGTCTGCTTCTACGGGGAGTGCTCCTACTACTGCTCCACCGAGCATGCCCTCTGTGGCAAGCCGGACCAGCTGGAGGGCTCCATGGCCACCCTGCTGCCCGACAAGACCTTGGCCAAGCGCCGCTCCTGGCGAAGCCCCTGGCGCCGCTCCTACCACAAGAGCAAGAAGGCCGAGTGAGCTGGGGCATGGTGGGCTTGGGGGGCACGGGGCAGCAGAGCTGTGGGCTGGGAGGGGACCACCTCATGGCCGCTCTCACCACCCCATGCCCCAACCCTGGCCTCTGCCCGCAGGTGGGAGCTGAACCCCAACTACTGCGCTCAGGTGCGAGAGACGCCACCCTACGACAGGGGCCATCGCCTCCTCGACCTCATCGACATGGCAGTCCTGGATTTCCTGATGGGTGAGCCCCACCGTGCCAGCGACAGGGGAGGGACCCTCAGGACCGAGATGCCCAAACAGCTCTGTGGCCCTGTGAGGGGCACTGGCCAAACCGGGCTGGCGGCAACGCTCCCCAGCGATTGCGCTGCCTCTCCTGTCCTCGGGACCACTCCTTCCTCCCCGTGCTGTCCCCTCACCATCATCTGACTTGGAGAGTTTCCCATCTCCTCGTCCTTGGCCGCCCAGACGTGCCTTTGCCGTTATTTCTGCTCCATTTGCCACTGTTGTCCCTCCGCAGGGTTGCAGGGATGAGAAGGGGCCCAGAGGTCACTAGGATTCTGCTTGGGTCTCCACCATGGGCATGGCCACCAGACGGGCGCCTTAGAGGTGCCCTCAGCCCTCTTCCCCAGCTTCTGGGTTTCAGTCTTGCACCAGGAGGGTGCTGTGTAGCCCAACTCCCACCTCCTGGCCCACCACCTGATAGTCAATTTGTTGCCCCACCACAGGCAATATGGACCGGCACCACTATGAGACCTTTGAGAAATTTGGGAACGACACTTTCCTACTCCACCTGGACAACGGCCGTGGGTAACACACGGGAAGCAATCCCAGCCAAAAGGGGTGGTGGGAGATCCCGGGTCTTGCTAAAATGCCCCCTGTGAGCCCTAAAATACCCTTCCTGAGCCAACGGGGTGACGCTGCCCCGATGCCAACCGGTGGGGCTTCTCCCCTCCCAGTTTTGGCACTCACTCCCGCGACGAACCGTCCATCCTGGCCCCCCTCCAGCAGTGCTGCAGGTAAGGGTCTCCACCCGCCCGCCCACCCCGGGGGTCCCGTCGAGGAGAGGCCGCCCGGGCTGAGACCTCTCCCTCCTCACC